CCCCGTGGCGGCCGCCATCTTCTCTGCGCGCGCGGCGCGGGGGCTGCCGGGAGTTGTAGTTCCCCGGGCGCCGCGCGGCCCCGATAATGGCGGCGGCCAGACTGAGTTTGTTTTTGTAAAAGCAGTGCAAAACTCACGCACTGCCCTTAATCTGAGAGAGGCAAGTAAATCTTAAAGAGATGTAGAAACATTCAAATGCAATGGTTTTTAAAGGCTCCTGTTGATTTAAAAAACCCACAAAACCTTTACAGACGAATTTGTAATGGAAGACAGAACCATTTTGAAAATACTGAAGCAAGACTAATGTAGGAGGTGACAAAATATGACATGATATGGAGAATTGATCCAACAAAAAATCAAGTTAAATAAGCATTATTGGAAGGTACATGCAAAAGCCATGAAAATATACCAAACTTACACATTGTGGCATAATTTCAGAAGTCCTCACACTTTTGAAATAAACCCAGAAGAAACAAAAAAACCCCCACCATTACTAATTACCTACCACCTGTTTTGGCCAGCCATTTAATTTAATATCTAAATTAATGCACATTCATTCAGAGTGCAGGCAATTAGTATTGCATACTCAAATTCGTAATTTCTACCAGCCCAAAAAAAAAAAAAAAAAAAAAAAAAAAAAAAAAAAAAAAAAAAAAAAAAAAAAAAAAAAAACAAAAAAAAAACCCACAAAACCAAAAACCAAAAAAACCAAAACAGTCTCAATCATTAGATGTCATCTTTTTAAATATCTATCTCCAGCATCTGTTGTATCATCACCAGCTTCTCTCCCTATGGTCACAAGAAGCCTTTTCCTGGAAAATACTTTACTGAAAATTACAGAAATATAATTGCATGAAAACAAAAGGAGGTTTATGTTTAAGAGCTTCACTGTAACTTAAGTAAGCACTGTTAAATTCCTATATAAGGTAAAAAAAGAAGAGTCCTGTCATTAAAATTGAAGATCCTTAATTGATATCAGAAAAAACTGTATTTTCTATTTCTAGCAGTGNCCCACAAAACCAAAAACCACCAAAGCAACACAAAAATACAACCATGTTGCCTGAGGATAAATGTAGACAGAAGGTGGTAGGTTCGAAATCATAATTAGCATGACAATTGCAGGATGTCCAGGAGAAACTAGAGAGCCAAGGTGAACTACCTGAAAGGGACTGGGAATCATCTGGTAAGAACTGGGAATAAATAGTTACTTTTTGTTTCAGTGCCCAACAGAAGAAGCCATGCAATGGTGCATTAAAGAGCTGACCAAAACCAGAACATCAATGTACACCAAGACACTGCTGTAAGACGAGCCATGGAGTGGTGTTTGGACACCCACACAATTCACCAATTTGTAAAAAATAAGAATATGCTGCCATAGACCACGGAATTATGGAACAGAGCAGTTAGTACTTCTTCCAAGGAAGTATGTCAACGCCATCATAAACTCATGTAACTTAAACATAAGGCAAAGTTTAACAGTAAGTTAAAATGCATCTTGCTACTTGGCTTCTCAAAAGGACACAGACCTATTAATCTAAAAAATCCTTGAGCTTCTCCATTCTTTCAGAAGAGGCAAGAGATGCACTCCTAATACACGTTTCACACTTACACAGCCTTCTGTCCAGCTGGTAATGAAAGTATCCCACTTCACCTAGAACAGCTCTCAGAGCTGTTTTTGCTATAAAACTATTTTTAAATGACTAGGCTGTCAGTAACAAAGGCTTCTTTTTTTTTTTCTGTAAAAAGAGAATTGGAAGTACATGGACACAAATGGCTCCGATTTAGTAGCAAGAGTCAGCTGCTACTTTGTATGATGGTAGATGAGTAACAATTCTCTCACCCATAAGCTCCTCTTGCTCTTCATCACCTTATCAGTTTGGAAATTTCTACATTCACTTAGAAAGCACGATTGACTCAATGCTGGAACACCACCACTTATCTCTTGTTGCTTCATAGCATCTACAAAGGCTTAGAAAGGCTTACTCTCTGTGTAACAAACGTTTATTCAGAAACAGGTAATACATTATCTTTTCCAACCCCTAATGTTTCCTCCCCTCCCTCCCCCTTTTTTTTTTTTTTATTAAAACACAGGTATTTGGTGGGCAATCTAAAAAAAGGAGAACAATAGCTGTCTTAGGTCCCCTCCCCTACAAACATCTGATGTTCACGTGAAGCACCCCACCAATCATGGTGTCACTGGCCTTCAAACCAAAGAGAGTACTCCAGAAAAACAAGTCCTGTCAAGTCCTTATTATTTCCATGGCTAAAAGGGATACAGTGAGATTAAGGAATGGTCTGCACAAGCTAGATAGAAGAAAGTTCATACAGAACAAGAAAGCAAAAGAAACACGGGGGGTTGTCCAAGAAACGGAATCTGGACTTACAGGAGCTACTCAGCAGAGCTGAACAGAATGGATAAGGTTAGTCTCCCAGCTAGTAGGATCAAGTTCAAACCCTAACCCGATTCTGGAAGTTGCTCTCAGCCTTCCTCTCTTCCAATACAGTTTGAACAAACACAAACGAGTGGAGCTACTGGGACTTTCATCATCCAGGGCGCCAGTGCGGTACAAGCGATGGGAAGTCCTGGAAGTGCCACCTAGTGGCTTGTCACACACACGCGCTGGCCCACGCCACCTCCTCGCCGCCTGCACGGGATTTGACACTCCTCTCCCGAGTTCCTTACACAGCGCCAACTGCCCGCTGCTCCTAAACCTCTCCCTGAAGCCACGCTGCAGCCATCATCCTCCAAATCCGGGCATGCCAGCAGCATAACTGCACAGCAGCCAAACAAACAGCATCCCTCAAAGAAACAAGTTCTCAGACACAAGACTTGGTGTGTATTACGATCTGAAAAGGGTCTCAAGTCCTTCCTTTTTATAGGAGACTGGCTGAGTTAGAAGCCAAGAAACTCATGTCCGTGCATCAGCAGGAGGAGGCAATGCAATCTAATGGGAGTCAAACAATTGGGTTTCTTCTAGCTCTGACCATGACTGGTTCTTAATTTTTCAGTCCAGAAAGAGGAGAGCAGCTGAGCCTGACCCTCCAGAGCAAATACAATCCTTGTACGACTGCCAGAACAACTCTCCAGCACTACCAGAGCTGAAACACCCCTGCCCAGAGCACAATGGCCAGTGCACTTGCGCATACGTCCCTTCTGCCTCATGTCTTTGTTGGCACACCGCGGGCAGCTCAGCTTCTCCCGCTTCTTTTCAATGTCCCAGCTGCCGAGCAGGAAAGTGTCCAACAGCCAGAAGGAAGAGTTATGCCACCGAATGCACACAAGTCCTTTCTGGATAGAGCCCAACCTGCCTTTGTACCCAGTGCAGCAACTTCAGAAACAACGTGGTGCGTACCCAGTGCAGCAACTTCAGAAACAACGTGGTGCTCTTGCCTGTGGACGATCAAGGGGATGCACCCTTTAGTTAAAGGTCAGTCAGAAGAAAACAGAAGGAGATCACCACTCCTTCCCTCAAAGTCTATGTGCATTTTTAATGGCCACTGGGGGCTTTGGAGTAAAGGATGGAGTTACATGGTATATGCTTGGTAATACATTACTGGCAGAAGGGAAAGGTTATTCTCTTGGGAAAAAAAAAAAATCATGGAAGAAAACTTCAACTATGAAAACAGAAAGTACACACACAAGAGGAAACACTATTGTACAGTAAGGTAGCGATCATAGAAAACAAAAAACTTCAGGACAGGCAAATGCAAGTAACATCTGCACTCCTGCACTTTCCTCATCCCCCAGCTTATATGAGTTTTCCAGTCCACTGCTTGCTCCCCCCCTCTCAGAGTTTAATTTTGAATTCTGTGGGCTGCACAGAGGCAGAGACCCCTGAGGATTTGAAGAGTGCCTTCAAGATAGTTTCAGGGTCCACTTCAGCTGGGGGATTTGAGGAGGCGCTTGCACTTGACCGGCGTGGTTCCCCTTCCTTCTTGACTGAAGGAGTATCACTCAATCGGCTGGAGGATTAAAAAAAAAAATTTAAAAGGCAGTATTTAACCTCTCTTTATGATAAATAAATTTTACCACTGTGTCTGCATTTACTGTTATCAGTGTATCCCCCTTACCTATATCAGAGATAAAAGTTTTAAATATGCTTTTCTCACAAGAAAATATCCTCATCTCAGATTATTTTTGAGCCTCAGGGCTGAGAACACTATGTAGTCAAGCTACATTGCACTCCACTCAACATATTGTGGCACAGAAGGGGAGAGAAAGAAAATTCATGAGACAACAATTCTCAAAATAGAACCTGCAAAAGCCTTTGGACCTTTTCCCCACTGAAGGACACTTACAGCAATATAGGCTGGTCTGAGGTGATGACATTCCCATTCATATGAAGATTGCACTTCATTGGCTGACCTAAATAAAAACAAAACACAAAATCCATTCTATCAGAAGTGGAGTAGGGCAAGATCCTTGAAACATCACGCAACAGTGCAAGCAGTAGAGTTCGACATGCTGGGGAAATAGAATAAACAGCTGATAAATCTTTTGTTGCAGAATCATAGCAATAGAAGAGCCACTGAAACACTCAGTACCATATGAAGGATCATACTAAATAACAAGTTACACAGAAGTATGAAGCCTTCAGCAGGGACACAAGAGGATCTCCCATTCTCAGCTGTCTGCTCCTCATCTGACATCCATAACATAGCACTCATCTAAAGAAAGAAAAAGCATCTATTTCCAGCTAAAAATTAACAGTTCAACAACAATTTCAGTTTAACATGGTTAAAAAATAAAATTGCATTATTCAAAGTTTATGAAGCATCTGATACTATTTTACAAGTCCAATTCAAAATGTTTCTAAGTACGCCCTGAAACTATTGCAAATACAAATTTTACTTGTATTTTGCAAGCAGCTCTGTAAGCAGGTAAAGCCTTCCTAAGGACTTTCTGTGGAAGAGTAAAGTTTTACAACAATTTCTGTGAGCTCGAGACAAGTCTGATAAGAGGCTCCATGTTTACCCCTGAAAGAATTTTCTACCAAGGTTGTTGACATAGAAACCAAGAAAGAAAAAAGGATAAATAAGAGAAACCTAAAACTGCCTATTCTAATAAGCACTTTGCTTGTCTTTTGTGACCAATGAGTAACATGTAAACTTATGAGTTCTGTAAGAATGTGTAAAAAGGCATGCATGCTACAATAAACAGTCTGAAGCCTTCTGAAAATGAAGTGTGTTGCTTTGTATTGTCTCCATCTCAACTACGACAGCTTTACAGCTCTCAGTACCTCATTAGAAACACAAGGAATTTAATCTGAAAGTTAGACTATGAGACTCATCAGGACCCTGCCCCCAGCTCTGAATGTGCTTTTTCCAGGAAAATGTGGGTAGGGCTCTTTATTGCATTTAAATAAACTGTGTATATATTCAGCTAGTTACATAGCAATTATTATCTTATCTAGCTCTTGAA